GGATGAACTATGAATGAAGTGAGTACAAATATGAGACCCTGATTGGGTTGTACCCCCTATGGGATACCCCACTATAGCCTACAAAAATAAGTAAGCTATAATGTTCTGACACAGTGCGTACTAGATGCGAACTAGTTAAACTTCCAGATTATTACAGTGTCTCAATACACATTTCGAGTATATTTCCATATTCTTGTCCGCATTCCAAGAGTTCCAGTGCCCATGCCAGATGCCAGAGACTTAGTCGAAATTCGAGAGCAAGAAGAGCCCTAGCAGTGTTGGAATGTCCTGTATGCGAAAACATTAGGGCTGACGACACTCTCTTATACTGAATTATAGGGTACGATTTTACTCATGTCAAGGTCCTGAGAGTAACATGAACGTCAAACTCAATTTCACGGAGCGGGAAGTGACAAAACCACACTGAACAACAGGTCGAGCAAGGGAAAAACTCTATGAATTCCAGGGGCCTGGCTCCGATTCTTCCAGGAATTGATTCTGATAGCCCTACACGTATGCACCAATCACGCTGCTTCGTGCAACAAACGTGTTAGGCTGTCAGATGGGAACCCTAAACAGTTGGAGGATTTCATCCTGTCTTCACCGTTAGATTTCATCTAACGGGCATCCACTACTGCGCCCAGAAGATGGGAGAGTGCTTGTGTGGAGTGGACGGACCTCTGCGCGCCGTAACATCATTAGGGATGGCGCGTGCCCAAATCGGGGAAAAAGGACACATTCACAACAGCCACCAAGTTACCGGTGAGAGTCTGACGCATGGAATCGCTAGCCCCAAGAAGGTGTTCCACCTCGTCGTTCCGATGTTTTGATTGGCTCTCCCCCTGTTAAGGGGGATGTATTTGTGATGTCAGCAGATGGGGAACCAGACACCATTGCCAAAGAGCCCCGACAAGTGGGGCCCTCTGGCGAATGTCGTCCATGCGATTGAGACATCTTCCAGGTTCAGGTAGGTTAGGGTACGAGTAGCAAAAATTAACGAATGTGGCAACAACTTGCAAAGCAACTCGTGACCCATAGTAGCGTGGCTCCAAAGCACAGATTCAGAAGTGGTGCTGCTTCCTCATAATTTCCCCAGTGGCACTCGCAACTCGAAGTCAGGAACATTCAGCCATGGCTCTTCCAAGCTTAGATAGTAAACTAGCCTTTCAGCCGATCTCCATGCCCTTTCCCTACGGCGGAGGCTGGCTCGACATAACCGTAGACCACGCCAATAGGCTGCGACCCGGTGAATGGGTCAGCGGAATCGTGATTGATTGGCTCGGTGGGTGAGTATCACGAATATAGACTCATTACACAGTGACGACACGGTTCTCTCATGCTTTTATTTTGGCGTTAATCTGCGCACTCGCAGGATGCTGCACTACGAACACGGTCGCAACCGCACAAAGTGGCTTTACGCTGGATCCTATTTCTGGGACTACGCTCGGAAGGACACACCGAGGCCTGACAACGCCTACACTTTCGGATTGGGAATATTCGAATTCACACATGTTCTAGTTCCGATTAATACCGAGTAAGTTCTCGCCGCGTCGTGCCGTTGCACCAGAAATAATTCGCAATGATAATGTCGTTTTTAATGATGCTAGTCCTCGTTTGCGCATTAGGAGTCATTGGAGCTTGATCGTCATCGAGAGAATCCCGAGACCCGACGACACGATTCCCATGAACTGCGTGCTATGGCACGCTGACTCGAACGGTACCCATGACGGTGTTGACGCTCCGTTGCGCAGGTATTCGCTCTCAAATGGCAGTATGCTGTTGTCTCGTAACTCAAAACGGGGTAACTAAATAATTGAAGAACCATCATCCGATATGCAGGTATTTACAAAACGAGGTCGTAAAATGCTGTTCGTGGATCATTGATTCGGACGCTGATGCATGGGCTGCGAGCATCCCGCTACGGCACGTCCAGGTGAGCGAAATTGCCTTGTTTGTACGAGCTCCGAGCCCATGCATCTCTTTTTCTCGCAACGCGATGTCCTCCACCAACCCCCAATTTCGGACGGGCCTTACACTGCTATAATTGACCCTGTGTGTCTTCAGATTCCAATGCAGGACAATGAGAACGAATGTGGTGTGTTCGCGATGCGTGTGATGCACACATTGGTCGAGGATGGTTTCCGTAACCTCCCTGCGTGTGAGCTTGTCGGTACGCCACTCAAATGGTGCCGTCAGTACCGTCGCGATTTGAGGAAGTGGTCTGTGTTTTTTCGGGGAAAGACGATGGTGGAGGTTAGAGGTGGGGCATGAGGCGGGTCTAAGTTGGTAATGGGGCGGGGAGCTTGGTGGAACGCGACTGGAATGAGAATGACAGGGTGAGCGAAGGGGGATGAGGCTGATAGCAAAGGGGGAGTGAGGCAGGTATGAAGTGGGGATTGAGACGGGTAGCAAGGGAGATTGAGGCGGGTAGCAAGGGGGAATGGGGCGGGTAGCAAGGGGGAATGAGGCAGGTAGGAAGGGGGAATGAGGCGGGAAGCATGGGGGAATGAGGCGGGAAGCATGGGGGAATGAGGCGGGAAGCATGGGGGAATGAGGCAGGTAGCAAGGGGGAATGAGGCGGGTAGCAAGGGGGGATGGGGCGGGTAGCAAGGGGGAATGAGGCGGGTAGCAAGGGGGAATGAGGTGGTTAGCAAGGGAGAATGGGGCGCGTATGAAGTGGGGATTGAGGCGGGTAGCAAGGGAGATTGAGGCGGGTAGCAAGGGGGAATGGGGTGGGAAGCATGGGGGAATGAGGCAGGTAGCAAGGGGGAATGAGGCGGGTAGCAAGGGGGAATGGGGCGGGTAGCATGGGGGAATGAGGCGGGTAGCATGTGAGAATGAGGTGGTTAGCAAGGGAGAATGGGGCGGGTATGAAGTGGGGATTGAGGCGGGTAGGAAGGGAGATTGAGGCGGGTATCATGGGGGAATGAGGCGGGTAGCAATCGGGAATGAGTTTGGTAGCATGGGGGAATGAGGCAGGTAGCAAGGGGGAACGAGGCAAGTAGCAAGGGGGAATGAGCAGGGTAGCAAGGGGGTATGAGGTGGATAGCAAGGGGGAATGAGGCAGGTAGCAAGGGGGAACGAGGCAGGTAGCAAGGGGGAATGAGGCTGGTAGCAAGGGGGAATGAGGCATAGGCAGGTAGCAGGGAGCAGGAGGGGATGAGGCGGGTAGCAGGTATCAGCATAGGGTGAACTTATTGGGCCTATGTTGTCAAACAAGACCTATAAGGAGGATCTGTTTGTCCCACCGTCCAGTCCATCGTGACAAGCCAACAAGCAAGTCACAGAACGCGTGGGTGAGGCTTCGAAACAGTCCCCATCACTCACGTGACCAGACAGCAAGTGTTTGTCACCTCCTCTCAAGCATGAAATAAGAACATACAACACATCAAGCAATTTATTTATGCACTATAGCTGCCCTACAGGACAACAGTGCAGACATGCCCCATGATGGGAGTTTGTGTTGGAAACAATCGGTCCTAAGCGCCTGTGTCGTGTCGAAACACCAAGACACAAACGAAGCAAAACACTACGGTATCGAAGCACCAGCGAGTCAACCCTCGGAGGTTGAAGTAACTGTCGGAGGTTACGCGAAGGTCAAAGGTCAGCGACCTTTGACCTGACAAGTACAGCGCGACAGTAAGGACACACAACTGACTCGCTGCAGAGCAGTTGCCCGAGTCGTCACTGTATCGAACCGCAACAGCAACGGTAAAGTAGTTGCAACCGTATCTCTTCGTATTCCTTGTACTATTATATAATCTTGTATCTCTTTGCTTTAATCAACTTACTTTGCCCTCACATACTAGCGCAAGGTGGTTCACAACACTTTAATTAACGCTTCCGCTACTACACCAAGTCTACCCAGAGTTCACCCCTGCAAAGATCCTAAGGGCTTTTCAGCCCAACTGTTTGTGTATGGCATTGGTAATGTTGCACCACAAATGACATACCAGTAGCTACCTTGTTGCGACACCAATATATTATTTACCTAGACCATATTTAAACAACAATCAAGGTAACAGGGTCACTGCTCTCCTTAAACAATTTGACAGTTGGTCCGTGAAGGATGTGTCTGGTTATGCACTGTCGGTGCTCATACTTGTGAGTAAACGTACGGTATTGGACAGCTCAACATTCCTTTGGTAGTAATGATTTATATGTTCTTTCAACACTGTATTGCAGCCTTGCAAATAAATGTGTCATTTTGTGCCCCCCGTGCGCCATACCACTTACCTCAGTTCATTGCCACGAACGTTGTTCTCTCCGACTTGCGACCCAATCGCCACCACTCACAACTAACTCCCGAGGATGCGTTCTTATCGCAGGTGTTCCATAACGGCTTCGTTTCAGACTGTCGCATCGCTGTACGAATTGCGCCAATGGTTCGTCCCCGTTTCTCCGAAGTGGCGATTTTACTATTGACGTGACGCTTGCGCCAAGCTTCGTGCGGCACGCGTGGAAGACTATGAAAAATAGCCACATAAAGTCTGTGCGGGCAGAATAGATATCTTTCGTGAGCCCTAATACACTAGCGCACGTTTAAGCACTAGCAACATTTTGTATCGCTCCCTGCCGCTAATGGACGGATAAACGCCCACTCCCACTGAATCATGCCCCATTGGAGCCGCAATTTTTTTATGGATGCACGTTAACCACCGTGTGATTGGTTGTTGGGGAAAACGAGGGACTTGGATGTCGCAAGGTGGAACAGAGCAGGAAACACTCAAACCCTCGTCACCTCCATGCTCCTCTTGCGTGCCTGCTTGTGGGACGGTCATCTGCTCCAGGCCCCTGTCTGATCCTCGTCCATTCTATGCTCAACAATTTTTTAGTGCGCGAAGCGTAGCTGTCAGGTTGCAACGTCATAACTAACCCACACCTCAGACTACTGCGTGAATGGAAACCTAGACATTGCAATGGATAGTCAGACGATTAAGGGGCCCGATGGGGCGATCGTTTTGGCAGACTCGTCGAAATTGCCGGAGGAAAAAAATTATATGGAGTTAGTTACAGTAGATAAAACGGCTGAGATCGTTAACGAGTACCGCAAGTACAATGCGTCGTCGGCGCGTGATGACGTTGAGTCAGGACGGGACTCTTCATCTGGTGACGAATCAAATAGCGACGGCGATGTTGGGCCATACGCTAACAAGGGCGTGTCCTCCCCTCCAAAACCAAGGGAGAGGCGCGTGAGGCGCTTAGATGACATCGGTCCCAAAGCCGGCCAGAAAGGTACGTGTCTTTGGTACCATCTGCTGAAAGGTAGACCTGCATGATTAATTACCTCCGACCGATCCAGTAAGTGCGGTTTGCCGTCGTGTTTGACTTGTTTCCGTTACTGAAGCTCCGATTGTGCTCCCCCGTAACATTGTCAGAGGACAAGCGTGACAACCGAAAGGGGCGTAAGCGCCGTCAACAAAAGAGAGGCACTACTTCACATGCTGCGTCTGAAGGCGACGAGGAGGTCGAGGACGGCGGACCCGTCAAAGAAGGTGCGTGTTTGTGTAATATCGCCGGTTTCTAAGTAGCACGTTACTCCCTGCATCGACTGATCATACTGATGCCACTTCGTGCAATTAAGGTTAGCGCGCACTGGACTGCTAATGTTCTTGTGATGTCCGCCCTCGCAGCTCCGTCAGCAGGCAGGCGTGCAGGACAACGCGGTAGATGTTATGACTGTAGCGGGAGGGCTGCGGAGTATCATGGCAGTCCATCTGGCCGCCTAGGAATGTCTGCGCGTGGCGACGAGCAGGAACATGGTGAGCTTGAAGGGCGAGGTGGTGGAAAGCGCAACAACGCGAAGGCGGCGGCGGCGGCCAAGGGCAGTCCCTCGAGGAGGCTCTCGTAGGACGTGGCTGGTGGCGACGAGCAGGAACATGGCGAGCTTGAAGGGCGTAGTGGTGGAAAGCAAAACAACGCGAAGGCGGCGGCGGCAAAGGGCAGTCCCTTGGGGAGGCTCTCGAAGGAGGTGGCTGGTGGCGACGAGCAGGAACATGGCGAGCTTGAAGGGCGTGGTGGTGGAAAGCGCAACAACGAGAAGGCGGCGGCGGCGGCCAAGGGCAGTCCCTCGGGGAGGCTCTCGCTGGATGTGGCTGGTGGCGACGAGCAGGCGCTGCCCAGGCCCGTTATAGAAGGTTGGCGGTTCCTGGCTACTTCTGTCGTTGATTTTGAGGTTGCATAGCCTTCGCTGCCACCCTCCTTGTATAATGTTACCTGTTGCACCAGCAACTATGTCGTGAATGACGTGACACCGAGATTGTCTCTCTCATATCCCTCTCGCTGCAGGGCTAGCAGAGCAGCGAGGTGGTGGCGGTATCGATCAGGATGAGGACAAGCCGGCAGCAGTGACTGCTGGGAAAGAACATGGACGTGAAGCTGTGATTCCGTACAAACGACGCAATGCTGTGGACTCGGCCGGTCGCGACCGAAATGCAAGACAAGCTCGACAAGGGACGAAACAGTATGTTTTGAGCTCGTCGGGTTCGGAGGAGGGATCCAGCGACAGTGAGTCAGGCAGCTCATCCGGGAGTGAGGAAGTATACGAGGACGAGGAGGAGGAGGAAGAGGAAGAGGAGGATGAGGAGTTGGAGCCGGAGAGCGAGGATGAGGAGGAGGCTCGGCCTTTGAAGAGGAGGGGTGTGCGGAAGACCAAGAAGGGCAATGGAAAGCGAAAATCGGAGACAGGACGGGTGAAGAGCTATAAGCAGAGTGTGCGTCGTGCCAAACCACATGGCAAGCGCCAGAGACCTCGATTCGAAGCTAAAATTGTGGGTGTGCGTAGCAAGGAGAAGCGGGAGTTGGATTTTTACGAGTCCATGGGGCTACGATGTCCATCAAGCCCTCATGATCGGAAAGCCACCGACACGTATGCTGCGTTACGCGAGCAGATGGATTCGTCTGGGAAGGGAGATCCGATCGCTTGGGGGTCAGCGCGGTTTGGCAGGGAAGCGACGGACCCGCATGCAAAGCTTTCGGGGGGTCACGCGGTTCAGGTGAAAATCGAGGGAGCAACGAAGCGGCACGAACCCTCGGCCGCCGCAGCAGCCAATGACGGTGTGGGAGGAGGTGTGTGGGCGAATTCCTTGGGTGAATGTGGCGGCGGTGTGGAAGGCTCCATGTGGGATGTACGGGATAGCAGGGGAGAAGGAGGAGACTTGAAAATGGATCCGGCGACTAAGGAGGGGAGGGGCGAGAGCATGGGCACACCTGGCGCATCCAGTCGGCCCAATGTGGCTGGCGGCAACACGGTGGAGCAGCTCATGCGGGAGCTTGCCCAGCGGGATCGCGAAATTGCGGCACTCAAGGCAAGGCCAGGAGCCAAAGGACCTGTCAAACCCTGCACCCCTCCGTCTAGGCCTCCTCGTATTGCGTCTCTGTCGAGCGGCCCATCTGCAGTGGGCCTCGATCCAGGCGTGGCGCCTGAAAGCCCATCAACGGTAGACGTACCGGTCCGTCGAACGCGTGGGATGCCCAAGCCCAAGCTGCTGAAGGTGGGTATGTTTAAGTGTTAAGCAATGTGTGGCATGGGGCTCAGTGTTAGCTGCAGCTCTCTCTCTCAACACCTCGTTTCCCCCACCTCTTTATGCTGGTCAGAGTGTTTGTACCATTATGCGCAGTGATAGCGGCCTGGCTGCGGTGTGATAGGCACTCCCAGTACGCCCCGCTTCAGGGACGCTGGCGCTGGGCGTACGATACTCTCACTCTGCCCCACCTCTCCGAGCTCACCATAACTGTTCTATTTCCTCCCCCCCCCCCCTCTCTCCCGTCACTCCACCTCCTCTTCCAGAGCCCCTGTTCATGGCGCTGCTTGTCTGGTATGGGTGGCATGCGGCGCAGAGATAGCAGCAGCCCTCTCTGTCATCCCTACGCGCCCAATCCCTTCTTTCCGCTTGCTCCCCCCCCCCCCCCCCCCTCTCTATCCCACCCCTCTCCCTCCTCTTCCAGAGCTCCTCTAAACGGTGCTGCTGGTCTGGTGTGGGTGGCATGCGGCGCAGAGATAGCAGCAGCCCTCTCTGTCATCCCCACATGCCCAATCCCTTCTTTCCGCTTGCTCCTCCCCCCCCTCTCTATCCCACCCCTCTCCCTCCTCTTCCAGAGCCCCTCCAAACGGTGCTGCTGGTCTGGTGTGGGTGGCATGCGGCGCAGAGATTGCAGCAGCACTCTCTGTCATCCCCACGTGCCCAATCCCTTCTTTCCGCTTGCTCCCCCCCCCCCCCCCTCTCTATCCCACCCCTCTCCCTCCTCTTCCAGAGCCCCTCTAAACGGTGCTGCTGGTCTGGTGTGGGTGGCATGCGGCGCAGAGATAGCAGCAGCCCTCTCTGTCATCCCCACGTGCCCAATCCCTTCTTTCCGCTTGCTCCCCCCCCCCCCCCCTCTCTATCCCACCCCTCTCCCTCCTCTTCCAGAGCCCCTTCTAAACGGTGCTTCTGGTCGCGTGTGTGGCATGCGGCGCAGCGTGTAGCGGGCCGGGCTGCAGCAGGGGTTGTGACTCTTAGTACGAGGAGAACATGACCCCTTACGCAGTCCGTACGGTGCTCTCACACTCTGCTCCCTCTCCCATATGATTTCACTCAGACTAGTTCATCCCCTCTCTCCCCCCTCTATCTCCCTGCTCTCCCCTACCTCAACCAGAGCCCCTGTTCATGGTGCTGGTGGTGGTGTGGGTGGCCTGCGGCACGTGTTACCCAAATCCCACTCTCTCGACCTCTGGTTTCCGCCCTTCTTTGGGAGTCACCCACATATCCTTTTTTCCTATCCATCCGGCTGTCGTAGGTTCATTTCGCATAGGGGCGGGACCGGATGTGCCTCGAGGCGCCAGACCATGCCATAGACTTCTACCCAACGCTCGAACAGCGCGTGCAAGTGTTGTTTGAGGTTATCAGCGAGACGCACATCATCAACATGATGCAGCTGCGAGAGGCTATGGAAGACAAAAACATCATAGGCGCTTTTAAACGCGCCTGGACGTCATGGAAGAACAAACGTGGCTTCCACCTCAAGCGCAGAGTGCTCGTCACTTTCGGCAACAAGGTGGAAGGCCTGCGTGCAGCCGAACTGTGGATGGGCACCAAGAAGAAGCGGAAGATGTGGAAAAAATACCAACCGAGTGAGTACTTGCGTGACTGTTTTCCATCCCCTATTGACATGTCTGCTCATGCACCCCTCGTGCATGCCCCACGTTGATGAAGCACGTACCCCCAATGCATCCCCACTTTGGCACGCGACTATATACATGCTCTCCTCGCCCAAGCTTGTAGCGCATGTGCAAACACATCCGCATGACAGCCATCCGTTGGTTCTTCTCCCACACTCCCCTTCTCCCGCCCCCCGTTTAACTCCCGCCCTCCTCTTCTCTCCCGCCACCCCCTTCTCTCCCACCCTCCCTTCCTCTACCGCCCTCCCCTTCTCTCCCGCCCTCCCCTTCTCTCCCGCCCTCCCCCTATCTCCCGCCCACCCCTACTCTCCCGCCCTCTCGCCATTCATTCCCCCCCGCCCTCGATGTTCATCCATACCCTTTGGACAACCCTAAACCATGAGTCATGCATGATCACGGATGTCTCATGCTTCCCCGCATTCTCATACATGCGCGCAGGAGGGAAACAACGGGTCAGCTCGTGGGGAAACAACAGAGACGGGCTCCCGTTTGCCAACGGCCGGTTTGTAGATGCGGTCCGGGAAGCATTTCGGAATTTCTGTGTCGGGCGCCGGGCGGCGTCAAAGCATACCACATTGCCTGGTCAATCATGGTGGTACGCAATTATTGCTCAACCCATGGTATGCTCTAGCTTGGCATGCTGTTTTATAGTCCCTCGGCATGGTATGTGGGGCATTTAGCGCAGCCTCTAAACTCTGCACGCGAGTGTCCACTGAAGTTGGTGTTTTTCCTCCATCCCATACTGTGCTATGCCTTTTCAAATTGACCAGGGCCTATCAAAGGTTAAGAGGACTGACTGGAACGTCTCCAACTCCCACCGGAAGAACAGTGAATGGATGGGGGGTTTGCACCGTAATGTGCGGTGGATTATCAAGGACCACTTCACACGCCACACCCCCGTGTACAACACAGACGTGAAGGGCTTCAAGTGGGGCGACCGTGGGCTGTATGTTCACGAGTCAGGATTTGAGGCCTTCCGGGGGAAGGCTGAGCTTGATGCCGAAACGAAGGACCTGAAGGAGGAAGAAAAGGAGGTGTACGACTCGGAGGACATGGAGGAGGATAAGGAAGAGGAGGATGAGGAGGAGGAGGAGGAGGAGGAGGAGGATGACGAGGAGGAGGACGAGGAGGAGGAGGAGGAGGAGGAGGAGGAGGAGGACGAGGAACAGTGGGGGCAGGAGCAGAGGAAGAGGAAAAGGCACAAGAGACCTAGGGCAGGCGGGAGGGATGAGGAAGAGGATGAGAAACGGAGGGGGCAAGAGCTTAGGAAGGGCAGAAGGCACAAGGGAGGGAAAACCAGGGGAGGCAGGAGGGAAGCGGACGAGGAAGAGGAGAAGGAAGAGGAGCTGGGGGATAAGAAACAGGGGGGGCAGGAGCGGAGGAAGGGCAGGAAGCACAAGAGAGGCAGAGGGCAGGGAAGCAGGAGGGAAGAGGAAGTGGAGGAAGATGAGGAAGAGGAGGAGCAGGAGGATGAGAAACAGGGGGGGCAGACGCGGAGGAAGGGTAGAAAGCACAAGAGAGGCAGAGGCAAGGGAGGTTGGAGGGAAGTGGAAGAGGAGGAAGAGGAGGAAGAGGAGAAAGAGGAGGAAGAGGATGAGGATGAGGATGAGAAGCAGGGGGGCCAGGAGCGGAGGAAGGGCAAAAGGCACGAAAATGGCAAAAGAAGGGGAGGCAAGAGGGCCAAATGATGGTGTGACGAGACAAGGGGGGCTGCAGATGAGGCATGCGTGGAGTTTACAAAAGGGGACAGCAGGAGAGGCATCACATACGTGCGAGGAGAGGCATTGGTGGAGACAGCAAGGGGGGCATCAGGGAAGGCACGTGTGGATAGAGAAAGGGGGACAGCATTACGGAGGGGAGTGGTGCAAGGGCCGCAGCAGTATAGGCATGACCGGATAGGACAAAGCAAACAGCAGTAAAGGCTTGACTGGAGGATGTCTAAGGCGGAGCAACAGACGCATGACAGGGCTGGACATGCGAGGAAGCAGTGGACGCACGGGCAGGGCAATAGTACCACAATTAGTGAAGGAGGGATGGGAGATGCAGGAAGAGAGGCAGGAAGTGGGGTCGCAGCCAAGGCATGGATCATGGGGGCTAGGTGTAGGGGCGAGCATGCTCGGCCTAGAGCACGAGACATGGGGTGTAGTGGGAGGCATAGTGTACGGGAGCATGAGAAGCAGGTTGATGCAGATCACCCTAAGAGGCGGGGGTCTTTGACTAGAGAGGGTGGGGTGTAGGATGCTCTTGTATGTGCCTTTTTTGTTGAGAATAAAACCCATTTACCAACGCTTCAGTAATGGTCATTTTGGATGCTAGGATGAGGCAACTAAACATCTTGTTAAACAACATGTTAACCATTGCAAGTCTCCAATCCAACTTCATTCTAACTAAACCGGATGTCCTTGAAGAGTACAATGCAATGAGATCCAATCTCCGAAATTGCTCTGCGGAAACTCCAACCAAACTTCTGCCGAAGGTTTTCACCTAAGAGGTTTGAACACACAAGCATCGCAGAAGCATGCGAACAGCGTTCGACAAAGCATCCAGAAGAAGGTATATACTTTCTCAAAATATCGTACCAAACAAGACGTTTATAAATCATACAACAAAGCTTTAAAGCAACTCTTTCCAAAGGTTTTCTGGACGCAGGATTTTTGTGATGGAAAAATGCGCATCAATCGATCGTGAACTGTCTTGATTAGTACGGATTTGCCAACGCCAGCACCACCGCTCACGAGTATGCAAAGAGGTCCATTTTCAAACGATCGTCGCACTCCTCGAACAATGTGATCAGCGATTGCACGTTGCTCAGCGTTTAGCATACGTTCCATTTGTATATATTCGCTGTCACTTGTGAGAATGGTACGAAATGTATCAAATGAACGAACAGAATCGTGGAAACCCAGCTCCACACCAATATCTACATCTGCGTCGCATCGAGACGTATCGTTATCGACATCTTCAACATCATCTGCTTCATGCACTGCTTGTTCAAACGCGCGCATCCATGAATCGCCGCTAGCCGAATATTCCTTCCTCTTAGAAGCAATATACACCTCGTTTGCTTCAAATAACCGTACGACTTGGATCGGCTCGCAAACTTCTTGACAAAAAGGAACGAACAGCAGCGTCTGTTCCCGCATGAAATTATATTCATCAATATCGCTGTGATAGTTTACATAACGAATGATCTTCCTGCTCGATCTCTTTCGATAAAAACGTTTCTTCGCTGAAAGGTCCGGTCCGATGACATCTTGTTTAGCACTTTCTTCATATTCTGCTGCAAAATCAGCAAGACAAAGAGTCTCCATAATGGTTGGACGTGACAAAATTAGAAGAAAGAAAGAGGGCTGAACTAGCAGTAATGGGGATACAAATAGCAAACCCTAGAAGGGTTGTACTCGCTATAGAGCACCCCACTACAGGCTAGAACATAAGATAACATTCTGACACACCCCCATAGCCAAAGTGGGGTGTAATCAGCAGAGCAGGCAAAGCAGTACAAGCTCAGGGTGGATCACAATGTCACCACACATTCTGAGCACAAGTTCAAGAAGAAATAGTTTAGAGTGCACAATTATGAGCAAAGCTAGTGGTAGTCACAACGGGCAAGTGAGGAGGAGGAGAGAGAGTGAGAGGAGAGGAGATAGAAGGCGTCGG